TGAGCAACAGGGAGATCTTTTTCAGTGTTAATAGATGATTTTTGGTTGTTGGAATTAATCTAGATATTTTTTTTACTGCTTGAGCTCATTTTAAGTCATTTACTTCTAAGTTTTTTGTTTTTTTAGGTTTAACTCTGTTCTTGACAATTGAACTTTACACAGGTTCTTTTCTGTATATTGAATTTGTGTAAACAGATTAGTTAAAAATTTGAAATATATTATATATTGCTAATTTTGTTATCTATTTTTTATATTTTTATGCCTCTTTTTAAACTTAACCATAACAATTAGAATACTGAAGTATACTCACTGGTTGAAATACTGTATATGACAGAGATCTCTTCATGTAAAATTAATAAATTGGAAATGTTTTAGATAACTGTAAAACTAATTATTATTTAAGTATCAGAATAAAGTATAATGTTTTCTTTACTATTGTTCTATTTTTGAAGGAATGGGATTTTATTTCTTAACAATAGAATGAAAAAGTTAATGTGTTTTTTGGTGGATGTTTAAATTATCTTAATTGTGAAAGTAAGAAATTTCTAGTGGATTGAACAATTTAAGGGTTAACAATAAAACTGTGAATATAACAGAAATACAGATTGTGATGACATCCTTTTAGTTCAAATTAGTCATGTTTTCAAATGTCCCAGTTTAAGTAGCAGTACAATCAATTTCATATTTATCTATATAAACTACTAGTATTGACTTTATCGAACTCAGGATACCTACTGTACTACTGACCAAGTCCAACACACCATACAGCTGATCTGAGCTTACATACTGTATATCATACTATTGACTCCAAGCCCACCCGTACAATATATCGTTCAACTCGCATAACCCCATCCATACCTCCTACTGTACTGCTGACCTGAGTCCATCCACATTACTTATTGCACTACTAACCTGAGACCATTTATTCCACTTATTCCTAGCTATAATAATGCACTATAAAAACTACCTAGTGGACAAATACATCAAATTACACATATTAACGCTTAAAACCTTAAACCTAGATGGTTTACTCTAAAAATACATTAAAATAAAACACCATAAATTAAACAAAAAACTCAACTAATCAAGTACCATAAATTACTTACTAAAATATCAAGTTACCAAAAAAGTAAATCTAATTTCAAATGTTATAAATGTTGTAGAATTAGCTATTCAGTAATTTTTGTTGTTGTTGTTCAATATTCTTACATGATTTAAAATATTACCAATCATATTATAACCTACCATACAAACAAAACATTCTGGGTGCCACTGATTGTTCAGTGCTGAGATATAGTTTTCTGTTATTGGACGATTACAGCCACCACATTTAGGAGCAAACAGCTCAAAATAGTCATCTTGACAATACGGTTTTCCATCTTGTTCATGAAAACCTTCTTCATCAAACTGTCGGCCACACTGGGTGCAGAAAAAGTGTTCTGGATGCCAAGTTTTGTCCAAAGCTGTAACACATTTCTGTTAAAAAAAAATAAAAATAAGATTTTTAAATACTATTTAATTCATTCACTCCTATTCTTTTAAACTATGGAAACTAATGAGAGAAAACTTCTGATACATTATTATTACTGGATACATCTTTCTTGAACAGTTTCAACTCACAGTGAATGACATGACTTGCCACTACTGAAAACTTCTAAGTCACTGTTGTTTTTTTAATGAATTAACATCTGATATTATTTACATAACACTGTCTAGAAATTTCTTACTTTCATGATTAAGACAATTTAAACATCCACCAAAACACAGGTATAATTTAATTAACTTTTTCATTTTATTGTTAAGAAATAAAATCCCATTCCTTCAAAAATAGAACAATAGTAAAGAAAACATTATTTTTTTATTTCTTATATTTAAATAATAATTAGTTTTACAGTTATCTAAAACATTTCCAATTTATTAATTTTACATGAAGAGATCTCTGTCATATACGGTATTTCAACCAGTGAGTATACTTCAGTATTTTAATTGTTATGGTTAAGTTTAAAAAGAGGCATAAAAATGTAAAAAATAGATAACAAAATTAGCAATATATCATATATTTCAAATTCTTAACTAATCTGTTTACACAAATTCAACACACAGAAAAGAACCTGTGTAAAGTTCAATTGTCAAGAACAGAGTTAAACAAAAACTTTAGTCATTAATAAGTTCACTTTCAAAAACAATTTGGTTCATAACTATGTGCAAAAGTGACACAAAAGACTATCTACACATAACTAACAGATTAAAGGGAAGACAGCTAGTCAAAAGCACCCACAACCAATTCTTGTCTGACCAAACAGTTGAATTCAATAATTACTCTTATAGAGCATCCATGGCCCAAAAATGAGGAACACACTTTTGCTGTAATGGGACATGAACTGTGAAACTGAGGATTCAGAGTCTGAGCATACTAGTTACTAGGGCACACCCAGTTACAACAAAAACAGACCTCAACTACTTAATTCTTTAGTTACTTATAAAGTATTTATAATTATATTTATTTTAAAATTCATAACTCCATAAACACTCATTATTTCATTTTAAGAAACCCAATCTTATTAACCTCTCCTCTGTTACATCAAATTATCTATAATGTCTACACACTTGAAGTATCATTTTCAATGAAGAAACTTTTATTAGGGAAAACTTAAATGATATTTCAATGTAAAATGGTTTAGGAAGATAATTATCAACTCACATCAAGAATTGGCCCATTACAATAAGCACAACGTGGAGAAAAGATGTTGTGATAGTCTGTTTCACAGTAAGGTTCTCCATCTCGCTCAAAAAAGTTTTTTGTTCCAAGTTCCTGGTTACAGTGGTTACAGGTGAAATGTTCTGGGTGCCATGTTTTCCCTAAAGCAGTAACCACCTACAGATAAATATAAGTTTTATATAATCAATAACAATCAACCTACAAAAGCATTTACACACAAAATCAAATGTTCGAGAAACCTCCTGTTTTCATCAGGAACTGTATTTGCACCTTGAACCCTCTGCACATCTAATGAAGATGCTATACCTGAAGTTCAAAACTATTATAATTAAAGTAAATTTCAGTGAATGTTCTCAAAAAGAAGAAGTAAAACTGGACTATCACAGGTATACATTAAATAAGAACTGTTTTGAAATTAACTTGACACTAATTCATCTCTGAATAATTCACATTCAAGTCACAAGGAGGGAAACAATAAAAGGTGTATATAGTGACTAAAGAAGTAACTTCTATGACACAATACTTACAGGGTTTTTAATTATAATCTCTGTGCCTTACAAATCTAACATAGTAATGTAAGCTCTCTGAATTTCTGCTACACAAGAAATAATTTTCTATGATACTTATGCTGCTCATCTAGAACAAAAAAAGCACCAAAAAACAAATCAAAGTCATAACACCAAAAAAGAATTATAGTATCAAGAACTACTTGGTAACTTCTAGATGGTATATACCATTGAGACAAATAAATAAAAAATCATTTTAACCAATTCATAATTAACTAACTTTGAATTTATATTTCTAAACTAGCAGATTAATATATTAGTAATGGATCTAGAACAGGTTATTCCATAATGGATATATATATTGATGAGTGTGAAGCATCTGGAAAGAGTGCAGAAGTTATCAATTTCTTACACTGAAAATAGATGGATTTTTTGAATTTTCCACTGCCCCATAACTTATTGAAAATAAATTTTCTCACTTGACACATTAGCCTTTATACCCCACAATTTCAAGCTGCTCATTTAGTATGCACAGAGCATGCGACAACTCTCCACCAATAGGAGCACAACATACTCTCCTAGAGCAGTTGGTTCCCTCTGTACTACTTTACATGAACTCCACTTTTGATATTAGGCCCACAAGAAACAGAAGAACACCAGAGGTGGGGAGGAAGAGTGGGAAGTGTGTGAGAGGAAGTAAGAATCTACCAGAAATCTATTTTCAGTGTAAGAAAATGATAACTTCCAATATGATATATATATATATATATACACCTCTTCTCAGATAAAAGCTAGAATCCCACATTCAATAAGTGGAAGAACTGGTGTATAATAGAACAAGAGACTCCCTGGAGAAAGTGTCCAAAGAGAATCGAACAGGTATGCTTTGTAATTGAATGGAAGCACACATGTGGGGGGACTGCACCACTTCTGGAACAGGTATGCTCTTTACCCATAAAGAAGTGTAGTGTCATGAAATGGTAACATCAAAGCCAGGAACAAGTAAAAGATAGACCTCAGAAAACAATGTATCAGGTAGCAAAAATCAACTTGAGTCCCACTCCACTCTCAACCTTACAAACATAACCAGGAACAAACTGATTCCAGTAGGATAAGAGTCACAAGTAGCATAAAGAAATAACAGACACTGACAGGTAAGCCACATGGAAAAAAACAGAAAACCAATGGCCAGTTCTCTGAAGTATGAAGATGGAAGCAGTTATCTATACATTACTAGGTAGGTATCTATTCAACCTCAACCATAGAGATGAGGTTCCACATCCAATCCTCAGTATTACGAGGAGGAGAAGATCGCGTAAGATTAAAACCAGAATATGCAGTATATGGTGGCCAGGGCAAGTGGAAAGTTAGTAATATATATATCAACTCCTCCCATAAGTAAACAGAGTGTCATACTGCAAACAATTGGAATTATGATGAGGAAGTAAGCAAATGGCATCTGCTGAACAAACCCCCAAATCAACCACAGGAGACAGGAACTACAGGGCTGTGTCTAAGCCTCAACTCAACCGTTAGAATAGAGAATCATCCTGAACCCAGTATTATGAGCAAGAAAAGAATGATTCCAACTCAACCATAGAGCAGGGAAAAACACTGTCCACCCAGCATCATTAAAAGAATGTGGAACACCTTCTCACATGGTATTGTATGTTCCACAACCAGTATTATGAGGAGGACAAAGTCCCCTGAGGTCAACCATGGGAGTAGGGAAATGAAACATCCTGCAGCTGGAATTACTAAGAAGGGGGTATCTACTGGTCTCAACTGTAGGAACAGGGCACTATCTACTTGAACCCGGTATTATGAGGAAGATCCAACATTGGCTGGTTCAGCTTCCACCAACATCAGCACACCTGGGACTAAACTTCCAGGGGGTAAAAGGAAGGAGGCTTACCAGTTTTGCCCCTTTTTTAATTCAATGGAGTGATATGTAATTATGTGTTTTCTAAACTCATGAGGAAACCTCCATGGTCCACCACCTCAATCTCCACTTGAGGAAGGGAGGGGTAAAAGTCATTGAGAAGCCTGGAGAAACATCACACCAGATAAAGTGCAGTGGGTGTCTACAAAACCCTATTCTGAAAAGCAGACCACTCCTGATTTATTCAACTGAAGGAGCTGCAGGGATGGGCAGCAGTCCCCCTTCTGTTGTACTCATGATAGTCCATGAGAGACGGTCCACCACATACTTATCAGAATTCTACACACTGAGAAATATATATATATATATATATGTATATACCACTAGGTAAGCTGCTAGTGAGCAGGATCCAAATATATACCAAAGAAAAGGAGGCTCCTGAAAGAAAACATAACAGAAAAAGACACCCAAGTTACAGTTGAACCAATGAGTGTAAAATTGCCATGGGAGGTAGACGATATCCACTAATTATGGACACAGCCAGATGGTGTAGGTAATGAGCAACAAAGGTATGGGGCATAGTCCACATTCAAGTCTGGATGGTCTCCTCCAGAGGATGATGAAAACAAGCCACTAGAGACATGGTGATATGTCAATAAAGGGTACAGGAAACAATTATTCCAAAAAGATCAGACTATGACAACTACAAGTCAGGAAGAGAAGGAAACAGGTCTAGAGGGAAAGATGATACAGAAAACATGAAGCCAAAGGTTCAAAGGGAGGTTGGGAAAGAGCAAAAAGGATGACATTGTGATCCCGATCAAGCACAGGAAAAGCATGGTGAGAACAAAGAACATGAAAGGACCAGAACAGGAATGGCAGGGTGGAAGATGCCCAAATGAGATTGATGAAAGAGAGAAGGAGAAAGAGGTAGAGGCCTCAGAAGAGGGAACCAAAGACCAGAACAGCAGTTTGTTGTTCAGATTGGTGGAAAATACATTGATGTATGGAGTTCCCAGATGAGAGCATAACAACTGGAAAACTTGAGGATCTAGAGACCATTCCATGGGAATGACCTTGTGTGTGTGTGTGTGTGTGTGTGTTAATTGATCTGCAACAAGATTCAATGCACTGGGAATATGGCAAGCTAAGAGCTGCATCTGGTACACATGGGCTCAGAACAGGAGCTCCAGAGTTTGAAAACAAAGGGACCTAGATTTGGGACCCTCTTGCCTAGTGATGTATGAGACTACTATGGAGTTTTTGTAATGCACTATAATCATCTTCCCCCTCAGAAGATGGAGACAAAAAGACAGAGATCAACAAACAGCTAAGAGCTCCAAAACACTGACATGTAGCATGGATGCTGCCAATAACCAACTCCCAGAGATCTCCTGGGTATCGAAATATGCACCCAAACCCACAAGAGAGGCATTGGCAAAGATGTAGGTCCAGAAAAAGAGGTGGAAAAGGAACACCAGCCACAGTAATGTCTCTGTCGAACCCCCAAGCAAGGTCAGTTCAAAGAGAAGAAGTAAGGACAACCAATTAATCTAAAAAATCTAAGCTGGAGTTCCATCAACTGTGGAATTCCCACTGAAGGGAATGCACGTGAGCATAACCAAGGGGTATTAGAGCTTCCAAGAAAGCCCACATCCCCAAAAAGAGATAGAATCTCTTGAGAGAATGAGGACCTAGCCTTGATGATTGATGACCAACTGCTCCATATCCTGAAGACATAGTGGAGAAGGCTGGGCCCGATTGATATGGGAATTAAAGAAAACCTCCAAGTGAACTAGATACTGTATAGGGGAATGGATGGACTTTTTCACTTGATTAACCAATCCATATGAGCTGCATCTTACAGGAGCAAACAGATGTAGTCAGAGGATGCTGAACAGGAAGGAGACAGAAGAAGCCAGTCATATATATAATGAGGAAATTGGAGTCCCAACAAATGTATATGTCGAAAAAAAAGGTCTTGACCACCCAACAAAACAGTTAAGAAGCTGAGGATGGAGGGATGGGAACATAAAGGTATGAATCCGTTATATTGAACTTGGTCATACAAAGACCTACAGTGAAAAACCAACAAAGGGACAAAAAGGAGGAGGATCCAGAAACTGATTTACATGAGAGAGTTCAAATGATGGGTCTACAATCCATGGTTTTCTTCGGAACAACAAAAAGCTGAAGAATAAAAACCAGGCTGAACTGGAAATACCAGCTCGACAGCTTCCTTGAGAAGAATATTTCTCATTGCTTCATACAGAAGAACTGCTTGAGACAGGATCCCTTACAGTAGGGAAAGGACCTGGACAGAAAGAAAGGAGGTTATGACTGGAATTGGAGAGAGACCTTCTGTTAAAATCAACAGAACCCATGGATTGGTAGTGAAGGTCTCCCAAATGTTGACAAAGCAGTAGAGCATAGCCCCCACAGGACCTGAACCCACTGTTTAGTCACCTATACCACTGTCTACATTCTTGACAGCACAGGAAAAAAAAAACAAGAACACTGAGATGCAGGTGAAGAGGTAAAACCAAATAATCCGAGTCAGGGATCTCACACAAAAGAAGAAGCATCATAGGAATCATTCTAAATGTGACAAACCTGTGTAATTTATTGGTGGAAAGGAGTAGAAGATCAAACCTCCTCCAAAGGTGCAGGATATGGATGTATGGCAAAGGAAAGAGCAGCAAAAAGGCTGACTAAATCATCTTCATCTTGAACATTCTCTTCAGTTTGAAGAGTTGCTGGCCATTGTGGAAAAGGCGACCCAGGCCCCACGTAAGAACTAAAGCATGTACCTCCTTGGCATACAATGTCAATCCCTAGTCCTGGGTAACAAGAATTTGTGTGTCACTATAACTTCAGGAGCAGTAGTGGTAAATCACAGTTCATTGCACAAATTCACAATTCTTAGTAAATTGTGTGAAGATGGTAATTAAAGTCAGTAACACACCAGAATGCAAGAAAGTACAAAGCAAATGAACTAAAAAAAATATATCGGAGAAAAAAAAAGCTTTGAAAACTGAAAGCAAGTGAGACACACACATCTGACCCCAATTGTGACAATCTCAAAAGTGAAGTTCACGTAAAGTAGTACAGAGGGAGCCACCTGCTCTAGTAGAGTGTGGTCACATGCTCTATGCATGCTAAATGAGCAGCTGGACCTTGTTGGGTATAAAGGCTAGCTTGCTAAATGAGAAAAAAAAAATTTTCAATGTGTTAGAGAGCAGTGGAAGATCAAGAAAAGCTTTATGTAGTAGTAAACAAATAAAAGCTCATAGGTTAAAATGTTAGTAAACACAAAATACTGAAGACCAGAGCTGGTTGATTAAATTGAATGATACCAAGAAAATGAAGTCATCAAAACTGGTGTTTCCAATTATTACTGTTTTTTTATTATTACAACTATTCAAGTAATTAAAATATCTCCATTATGATTTCTCATTACTATTTTCAATTATTTCAAGGTTGTTCAACTTAATTGATTAATGTTAATATTCACATAATTAATAAATTAATTGAAATTAGTATTTTTGATTATTCCAACTATCCAAGTCTTATGTGAGAATAACTGATTAGTTGAATGTAATTGATCAGTCAGCCTGATGATTAATTCATTATTAAATTATACTGATCACCAAGCTCTAATGATGACACGACTAATAGGAATTTGTATTAACTGAAAGTGTCTGGTGGTCATACAAAGTTTTGCTCTAATGGGCTAATATATTGTAAACACAAATTATCTAGAGCCACAATAGGATTATCTGCTATTAGCAATAAATGGAAAGTATCTCATAATAACAACCGAGTTTATGCATTAGTAAATAAATCATATAATATTTAACAATATTGTTATCTTTCAAATTAATTAATTGTTGTTTTATTTTCAGTGAATTATTAAAATATTTTAAATATTCATCTATGTCATTATAAACTGCAGTTAAGAGAAATTATCAATGTGTTTATTACCACTTTAATAGAGAGATAAGCAAGTTTTTACATATTCAGCAAGTTTAATACATTATTTACAGTATACAACAATTTTCTTTTAGACAAAAATGAGCAAAACAATCACATTTTCTTCTTCAGGAAAACTAATTACCATGTAAAACAATTTCTTACAACTATTCAAATTATCTATGTTCTGTGATACTGATTCATACCTGTCCAACAATGGGTTTGTTACAAGCAGCACAGTGGCCCTTAGCTGTAGTGTTAACTCCCTGTTTGTTCATATCACACTGAAGAGTACCCAACATGGAGTCCAGGTGATTATTACGGCCAGCAACTGTAGAAGTATTTGGAGTTGGGGCAGGAGGCTGTTTAGGTAGTTTCTGAGGCTTGGCATAAGCTGGTTCCCCACTTGATTGGCTGGTGTTGTTCAGCTGTGGTATAAAAAAAAACTAAGTGTTATTACAATGGAACATTATTTAACTCAAAATCTAAATTGCTATTTGTACTACAAAATGAAAATAAAGAAGCTATTTTTCATGTGATAGTAAGTATTAAAAAAAAAGATTGCACAAAATAAAAGAATTTTAGAAAGTACTTTAAACACAGTACTAGTCTAAGTAAATACTTTTATCCAGTGCCTCCTAATTCCTAAAGTTTCCTTTCACACTGGTCTGAACTGTAACTACAATCTGCCATAGAACTAAGACTTGTCTACCACAAGTATAGGTCAATGTTATAGCAACAATACCATATATCCAAAGCATTTATTCCCTAAGTACAAAGTCAGGGTGTATTTACACTTTTATATACAACAAAGATTTGTATTCTAATCAATACAGAGTTCAATTTTTATCACAATCTACCATATACTAGAGCTGTTTTTCCATTGACATAATATCAGACTGTAAGTACAATTCACCAAACAGCTAGTGCTTGTCTTGATCCTAGTACTAGTTTAGATGGTAACCACAATTCATCATAGAGCTGAGGCTTGTCTTGGCCGTAATACCAGTTCAGATGGTAACCACAATTCATCATACAGCTAGTGCTTGTCTTGGCCTTAGTACCAGTCGGGATGGTAAATACAATTCATCACACAGCTAGTGCTTGTCTTGGCCCTCATACCAGTCTAGATGATAATCACAATTCATCATACAGCTAGGTCTTGTCTTGGCCATAATACCAGTTCAGATGATAATCACAATTCATCATACGGCTAGTGCTTGTCTTGGCCTTAGTACCAGTCGGGATGGTAAATACAATTCATCATACAGCTAGGGCTTGTCTTGGCCCTTGTACCAGTCTAGATGATAATCACAATTCATCATACAGCTAGTGCGTATCTTGGCCTTAGTACCAGTCCAGATGATAAATACAATTCATCATACAGCTAGGGCTTGTCTTGGCCCTAGTACCAGTCCAGATGATAATCACAATTCATCATACAGCTAGTGCTTGTCTTGGCCCTAGTACCAGTCCAGATGATAATCACAATTCATCATACGGCTAGGGCTTGTCTTGGCCCTAGTACCAGTCCAGGTGATAATCACAATTCATCATACGGCTAGGGCCTGTCTTGGCCCTAGTACCAGTCTAGGTGGTAACCACAATTCACCACACAGATAAGGCTTGTTTTGGCCACTAGTACCGGTCCAGATTACAGCAGGCTTTTCTCGACCCTAGTACTGGTCTAGACAGAACCTGTAATTCATCATACAGCTTGGGCTTGTCTTGACCATAGTACAAGTTCAGAGTAAAACTACTATTTACTTTGTATTTCTCAAAGATATGTATATCCACAATATAAGGTCAGGATGTGGTTACACAATTCTATATCTAGAGCTTGTCTTCTGACTGGTATAGGGTTGACTACAAACACAATCTGCCATGTATCTGATGTCTTTATACTGGTATAGGACCACATTGTAACCACAATTTACTGTATAACAAAATTAATGTTCCCACTGGTATAGGATCACACTGTAGCCACAATCTACTGTACAACCAAATAAAGTGATCCCACTGTAACCACAATATACTGTATAACCAAAGAACCACAATCAATCACTTATCCAAGTCTAACCTGCTGAGAGATAGCCAGATGATAACCACAATCTATTATTTTTAAAGCTTCTCTCTCAACTTTCATGGGTTCAAGATGTAACACAATCTACAAACTCCAGGGGTAATAAGAATTATTTCAAGTATATAACTGGATATCTAAAAAATATATAATTACAATTTAATTTGCTGCAAATTTATTAATTTGAACATTCACAAAGACTAATGCATAAATTTCAATAGATTATCATTAAATACACCACCCTCCCCATCAAGCTATGCAAGGTATTTAATTGAAATTAATCCTTGTGTAATAAAACTGTCTGAATGATTGTAAAAATTTTAAATTTTAACTCTTATTCTAAATCATTCCAAAGACAAATAAAATAAACCAAGAAACTTTATGTTAGTTTCATACTATAGTTAAATGATAATTATTACCAGAGGAAATTTTAATTTTTAACTTCAACACATGGTAGCTTTTGTCTCTTGTTTTCCAATCCTTACCTTAAAATCAGAGAGAGAAGCCATGAGATCATCTAACTCCTTGGTGGCTGAAGATGCCATTGGTGTAGTTGAGGTTGAATAGTGACCAGCTGGTGATGGGTAGCTGACAGTAGTGACAGTCTCACGATGAGTGGGTTGGGTTAACACAGGAGTAGGTCTACTAGTGTTAAACAGAAAATAAAAATGTCACAGCATAAGATAACAGCCAATAACCAAATGCCCATTTTTAGTTTCCACGATTAACTTCTTCATCAATTTTTTTTTTTAGATAGTCATTAGATCACTATACCTTGCTTTCTGGGTTACTATAGATTGGCTTGCTAAATGATTGATCATCTGCTCAATTAAGCTTGTCTAATCGTTTTCTTGTACAAACATAACTGTTCTTCAAACAGAAATGGCTAATCATTGATTCTGCAGTCAAAATATTCTTCCACAGATCACTCAGTCATAAAATACCAACTGATTACAAGTTAACAAACAATGTTTAATGAGACTTGAACTTATTCTTTAGTCACGAACAATAAGAAAATAAAGCACATTAACCCAAAACCTCTCAGTCTGAGAAGGGAGACAACTTTATCTGTGTGAAGATCTGCCTAGTGCTTGAAAATTTTACTGTGGGTGGAGTAAAGAAGGCTTTGTATTGGAGGAAACACCCTCTTTCATGTGTGTAGGTGGCATGGCTTGACTTTCATCAGCTAGACTGAACAACCTTGGTAACCTGATCTCTTACAGAGCAAGACAACAACAGCTAAGTGTGTTCACACTACAAAAGATGACCTAGCTTGAAGGACACAGCAGGCATACTATCAATGCTCTTTACAATTATTGTATTACATCAAATTACTGGTATAGTTACACATATTAAAAAAGTATCTTCACAGGAAAAACTATTCAGTTTTTATTTTTTTACTAAACAAAATACAATCATATCTTACAATATTTCATAAAGGATAACCACTAATACTCAACTAATGTCTAGCCTGTAGTGATAGTTTACTACTGTATATAATAAAGTCGGAGTTTAAATACCTGTTTTTTCACAATCTCTTAATTATGCTACTTACTTGCCTTACACAAGGTTAATAATAGATTGGAGAAAACTGGCAAGCATTTATGACATGAGATGTTATTTTTTCCACTGAATAATATGACAATTTTTTAAAATAAAAACAATCCTAATATTGATGGCACAAAAATAATGAAAACTACAAATTACTATAAGAAGTTACTGTTATTACACTATGAAAAGCTATAACCTGTATTATAAAGCTACAAACAGTGCTAAGCAGTTTAATGTATGAAACTAAGTAGGATTGTACACTATGGTGTGAACATAAATTATAAGACATATATTTAAACTATAGAGAACTATATAAGTTGTGGTATGGAACTATACAAAACTAGAACTTTGGTATGAAACTACACAAAACATGAATTGTGACTTATCACTATTGAGAATTATGTACTGTGTGTGTGAATCTATATAAAACTATAAACTATGGTGTGAAACTACAAAAAACTATAATATGTGGAATGAAACACTACTACAGGGTCATAACTAGTATTAAACTACACAAAACTATAGGATAGGATATGAACAATAGGGGCAAACTTCAAACAACCTTTCGTATGTCATTCCAAAAACTAAATTTACATACTGAAATTAAAATAAATTAGTTACAAGTGTAACAATTGGTAATAAGTTACAGTTAGCAAGCATTAAAGTTACAGAAAATATGTAACATACAATATGCAACTTACAGAAAGAAAATGTGTGACATTATACATTATAGTAAAAGTGAAAATAAGGAATAGTGAAACATTACAGGATAATGTGGAACATGACAAGTTACAGTTGAAATTATATAGCAATAAGTTATAATAATTGTTTAACATTATAAATTACAGTAACAAACTGTGTAACATAATCAGTTAAGAACAAGAAAGTGCAACACGACAAATTACAGTTAGGAAACAGTAAGTTACAGTACATGTTTAAAATACTTAGTTAGAAATCATGCAATAATGTAGTTACAGAAAGAAACTATGTAACAATACCAGTTACAAACTGTGTACCATTATAAGTCACAGACAGAAATTATTACATTACTGTTAGAAACTGTAGAGCATGTCAAGTCATACAAGAAAACTGTAATATTACTGTTGTAAAGTGTATAGTATGTCAAGTTAAAGTAATAAAATGTATAGCATGTCAAGTCGCACGAAGAAACTGTATCATTACTGCTATAAACTGTATAGCATGCCAACTTACAGCAAGAAACTGTTAAATTACTGTTATAAACTGCATATCATGTCAAGCCACAGAAAAACTATTATTACTGTTATAAGCTGTACAGCATACAGAGTTATACTAACAAACTGTAACATTACTGCTGTAAACTGTATAGCATGTCAAGTTAAACTAAGAAACTGTAAAATTACTGTTGTTAACTGTATAGAGTGTCAAGTTATAGTAAGACACTGTAGCATTACTGTTGTGGTGCTATACAGCTTATAATAGTAATGTTAATTTTCTTCAATAACTTGACATGCTATACAGTTTTCAAAAGTTTTTTCCTGTGACTTGACATGAGATACAGTTACAATAATAATGTTACAGTTTTCTTCTATGACTTGATATATTATACAGTTTGTAACAGTTTTTGTGTGACTTTACATGAGATACAGTTTATGATAGTAATGTTGTGGTGCCTTACTGTAACTTGGCATGCTATACAGTTTACAACAGTTTTTGTGTGACTTTACATGAGATACAGTTTATGATAGTAATGTTGCGGTGCCTTACTGTAACTTGACATGCTATACAGTATTCAAGTTACGAAAAGAAACTGTAACATCACTTTTATAAACGGTTAAGCATGTCCAGTCACAGAAAGAAACTGTAACATTACTGTTACAACTAACAAAATACTGCAACATTACTGCTACAGCTAACATACTACTATAAAATGACAAGCTACAAACAGAAATTTTTAACAGTCTAATCTAATATACAGCATAAGTTACCTAGAAATTGAATTTGGACATCACAAAAGATTTGTAAGTTTTCTGAACTACACAATACCAATAATAGCTGATAGTAAAGAAGACAATGTTTCTTATTACTACATTAAATTACAACTATATTTTAACTAACAAATAAATCCCAAGGCAAAAGATTAAATTAAGAATTACATACAATTCTCAGGTGTGACAGTATTAAGAAATATAGTGCTGTTGTTTCTACATATTTGAACAGAAACTTACACTGTGGTGTGGGTGAACACTTTCATGTGCAGTCTACATAGATTGAAAGTGGGTTGTTAGGAACTGGAAAGCTAACTAAAACATCTCAGTGGACCAGAAGTGGGAAACTAAATATAGCTTCTAGGGTTTGCCTGCACTCTAAGTGCCCATCTTTCTTTCATTAGTTACACACACACATACACATAACATTAAAAGGTAATGTCAGTGAACCTACAGACATGGTTTATGAATTACTGGTAACAGCCCAGTTTCCAATTACAGAGAAAATTGTTAACTTCCTTTTTACTAATACTTCTTCCATAAAAGTATATCTTTGCAATAATTTTCAAAGCACAAAACATCTATTCCAGAGCAAAATTAAATGCCACTGCTAGGTATAAGTACATAAATAAACAACAGGAAACTCACTCACAGACCAAATGCTCGAGAGGATCATTCCTAATGCAAGATATAGAAAATCATTAGAATAAAAATATCATTTTTGGTATGAATTCTAATAGATGAGTAATATCTATTTTATAACAGATTCATGATAAATAACACATCCATTAAAACTTCCCTGTCATTTTCCCAACATGTGTGTAAGCAACATTACAAGTTAAAGTTACTAACTGTTTGATTGTTTCTGGGACAGCATTCTGTAGCTCATCCAACAGGCTCTCTACTGAGGGTCCAACATCTTGAATGCCACTGCTGCTGGTGCTGCCTGAAGGAGAGATGGTGTGGTACCTTGGAGAAGTAGGGGCGGGGCTGGAGGGACCATTAACTGTTGACTGGTATTGGTATCCTGTTAATGAAAATAAATTGGATACTCATTCAGCTTTAAAAATGAATTAAATTCTCAATTACTTAGCTTGATCCATGAGTAAAACATTCAGAATAGAAAATTCAATGATTTTTTAACCCCAAAAGACTAACATTAAAGGTCAGAGATTTAGCAAACTTCAAAAAACCAAATTAATTTGTTTTCACCATTGAGTGAACTATTCTGAAATGTATCTGCAAATTGTCAGCTAGATAAATTTTCTTAAGCATGTCTAGTGAATTATGTCACCAACCATAAAAACTTACCTTCAAGACGGATATTACAGGCAACAGACAACTTATAAATTACTAAGATCATTGAATGAGATGCACAGATATACACCATATTCCACATTACCCATCAAAGCTGGAAACATTTATAATGTAAAATACCAAGATGTAGTGCAAAACAAAAATACTCACTTTCATATTAATGGTTAATCTTTAGCTTAGACTTTTACATATTGTTTAGTTGGGTGGAAGAATAAGGTCAGTCCTTAGGTGAAATGTTTCACACACAAGTGTTGTAACACCTGCCACACGAGCCAGCCTGGCTTCTTGATGTGGATAAAAAAAAGTCATTTTGGAAAGGTTTGGATTGTTATATTAATATATTATATGTTATAATAATATATTAGGGACAAACATTAAGCTACACAAGATTACTGACAATTACTTATTAGTAACAGAGATTTTGAAATGAAGTGTTGAAGTATAATTACTACATCAAAACCATAAATCTTTTTTATCTGATAAAACCAGATTGGTAAACATCTGTCTGTAGATTTAGATGTTGATGATGTCTCTTGCTTCTGGTGGTTTTTCCCAAATTTGAATAGAAATAAAAAAAATCAATGTTACTCAAATAATTTTGTATTAAGTTCAAATCAATGAAAGTTAAAATTTTCAGGTCGACTGAACATACTGTGTTTGAGTTGAAGACATTCAGCTTGATGAAGTAACTAGTTTTGGATAGTACAAGATAAAAACACTTAGCTGTTGACATCCATTTTAATAATACATGGATGAAACACTTAAATGTATGAAAATATTAGGTTCAGATAATATAAGGTTAAGACACATAGGTAGTTGTTTTAAGTTATAGTGATAAGACATTTAGGCAAATGTAACATTACTTTCACTGCCATGGATCAACACATAGTCTACAAACCAAATACAGAATATAGCACAACATAAAAACCACAAACTAAACCAGTTGTAAAAATTCACTTCATATATACAAGCAAACTTTACACAGAGGGTTAGATATCTAACATTGTTAACACCCAGATTAATAAGCTTAGACAATATAAACAAGCTAATTCTTGTCATTATTGTTTAGTTATAAATGATACTGATAATGCCCTTGTTAAAATTTAGTGAACTCCTTCCATGTCACAGCATCCAAACTAACACACAGAGCAGTTTATTCACATTTAACTTTCATTAGACTAATTTACGTATGACAGCTTGCCAAATTATACATTTCATTAGATCTTGCTGTAAGTACAATGAATAAGTTGACAATAACAAGATAAGAGACCTTTCCACTAATAAACAAAACAACCAAGACTTTAAATAAGAAAAAAATTATATCCCAATGGCAACATGCCAACTGGAGCAGATATTTCTAACTCATAACTTGTACCATGAAACAATGAAGCCTCAAAAATTAGAGAATGCATGCAAGTGATAAAAGCTAAATTTAACATTTCCATCAGGGGTCAAACTTAACCAAATATATCTTCATACAGAGTATGCAATTTGTGAAGGGGTCCCATTAAGGCTACATTTGCAATATCATACAGTCTAAAACATTTAGAAGTATACAATTATTTGTGTTAATGGAAGTGATATTTTTGGAATACCCCTTTATTATTTTTTCATTTCAAGCAGCTATTTGCATTATTTGTTTCTTTTACTTTTGGAGAAAACATATGTGCATATAAATGTAAATAATTAGATGTTATAAAAAGCTCTTAAATGCACCAGTACCTTTGTGATTCAAATTCTGTTTGTATAGTTTTAATGTGTGTTACATAATATGTCACATAGAAGACTTTAGAAAAGGAAATCTCATGCTTCTATTTCTTTGCTATGTCATAAATAACTGAGTTCAAACAATTTAACATAGAATTGGGTAGCTGTATTAAATACACGATATAACATGCAAAAAATAAATAATGTTGATGTAACAGGAAATAAGTACTGCCCACTTTTAGATCCTTGCTACAATAACAATTTATACAAAATTCATAACTGATAAGAAAGAACTTAGTTTTGGGTCAAGTATCTCTATTTCTTTGTCAATTCCTTCTTCCATTTTAAACAAACAGTTGTCTAATTAACCATTTGTGCTCTTATAGACCACTGCTTTTACACTATTTGATTTAACAATCTTATAATTCCTGGATTGATTTGACAATTTTATAATTCTTGGATGTTACATTTAATGATTGTTTATTTGTGACTTTAATAGGTTTTAGTTCTATTACTAGCTGAACAGCTTCTTTTAGAGATTTACATCTCTTTTTCTTTAATTTAATTCACATATTCTCACTCACTGAATCAACTATGCATTGTTCATATGCTAACTAATCTACCATTTCATGTGGAGCACCTGATAAGATAAGCCAATCTTTCCACATCTTCAGCAAGTTTGGCAAGGGTTTTGTCATTCCTTCTTACTCTACTCATAAACTTTGACTTTAGATAAAGTGGCCACTAATGCCTGATAGTTGTTAATCTTCTTTGTTGGAAGGTTACTTAATGTTGTTAATGCTGGTCCTTCTAAATGTGCAGCAAGCTGAATAACTTGTTTACTACTCCATCCACTCACTTTAGAAATTATTTCACACTTTACAATATGCCTCTCATTAGTCTTTTACTTTTTAATTGGACAATGAACTGGTCTATTATACTCCATAACTAGATGAGGCAGTGGTGTATTTGGAGTAGTCAAGAAAGATCTGTAGTTGCAAATGGCACAGCATTAGTGATAACAGATGGGTTCTCTTACTCCATACTGCATAGTTAACAAGTGTTTTAGGTTGAAATTCTTCAGCAGATAGAGAAGAGTGCAGCTGGTTTGATCCTTGTATTTGGCTATTCAGTCTCTAGATATTTTATTCTAATGATGATGTCCTTTCATATATTTCCTATGGATTCTTGAATCTTGTCTTGAAAGAAACTAAGTTTTTTGTTTGTAATTCTTGTGTAAATATGATGATTAATTCTTGTACTCCACTTCTTAAATTCTTGTTTTGTTTCTTCTTATTTTTATCTCTTTTTTCTTGAACTTCTTTTAATTTTCTGTCACATTCTGTTTTGTTTCCTAAAATTTTGGGACATTTCCAATTATTAAGGCCACATCAATCACATTATGCCAAACTACCTTCCCACTAAACATTAACACAATTTTCTAAAAATGTCTAGATTAAAAACAGAGGTTATAACACTACCTTTTGTTCCTGGGTAAGTCATGAATCTTGCAGAGTTCAGATCTTCTAAGAGAGTGTCCAATTCTGATAAGTTGTTCTCTAAAGACACATCTTGCTTGGGGCTAAGTGAACGTTCAGGAAAAATAGGAGTAGTAGTCATGGTTACCTCTCTGATCACTTGCTGATTCTGATAAATGGGCTGAACAAGAAATATTTACTAATTAACCACGCGTAAAGTTATATCAATTACAAGATTTCATAAGGTGTAAAGAATGTCTGGCTTACATTTTTTGTGTTGTGCTTTTAATTTCTGAATTAATGTTAATAGCAGCTAATAAATAAGCATATTTAGTTTTCTGTGTCAAACTCAAATCTGCCTCATGAGAAAACAATTAATTTTGCTGAATTGAAAAAAACACTACAACTCTATATGGATTAATACAAATAACATTAATTAATTCCTTCACTCTACTTTTGCTAAAAATACCTTACCGAACCATGATCAGCCATTGATGGCTGACTGTAAGCTGGGTAATCTTCCAGTGGAGGAGAAGAAGACTGGTAGCCAGGTCCAGAGTGGTTCAAGTTGACTGTAGTGTTTTGAAGATCAGCTAAAAGTGCATCTAGGAAAAGCAGAACAGAAATATATTACCTTTTAGGCTGACAGTCTGACAAACAGAATAATAAGGGTGCATCAAATGTGTTATCTGAATTAATTTCATTAACAAAATATCTACATATATTTACCTTGAAATATATTTTTATCTGTCATAATTGTAAACAAGTGAAGCTGACCTGTATTTCATATCCAAAAATTAAAATTTTGCAAATTTTTTTCCCATCATTCTCTGTCTTAATCATACACACTAATAAGAAAAGTAAACAACAAAGCGATTTAATGGATGATACCAGCAAAGATTTGAAATTAATTTTCAAAAGCAAATGTGTATAATTTATACACATTAATGTAATTTTATTTCTAATCCTTAAGATTTAGTTCTCCTTACTGCTTTATTGAAATAGCAGATTCTTACCTGGTAACCTTAAACACACATTGTTAATTATAATAAATTACAAATATCTAATATAACTCTTTTAATCTAAATCAATCATTTGGAGTTTTCAATAAATCTTTATATATCAGTAGGTACTATCTAAAGCTTATAATCACTACTAAAAATTTTCCAAAACATTGTCTTTAAAAAACTAATAAAATGGCCCACTGATAACCTAAAAAAAAAGACACCATGAATACAGAACTGACAATCTTCCAATGCACAAATAACAATAATAAATGAACATCCCAAATCACCATAGACAACCTTCCAAAGCATTAATGAATAAAACCACTGTAAAGATCCTGTAAATGACATAACTACTGACCTTACAGAGTACTAATAAACTGACCTACAGAAACAAGTTCAATGCATTAATAAACAGACCATTAACAATCTTTCAAAACCCCAATGAACAAAAATGTTTCAAAGAATAAAACTAACATTATTCTAAACTAGAAATCACTGAAACTACTGACAATCTGTAAAATCTTGAAATTATAATTTTCAAAAGCATAAATGAATAGGACTACTTATTATGATCCAAGAAATAAAATATTCAAAAGAAATAAACTATTATGAATGTGCAAGCATTATAATTTCACACATAAAAGCAGCTATTAGTAACATTGATAATTAGTCAAAAAGCTAGGATTATCTGAAAGTCTACTATAATTTTGCAAATTGATTATTAATCACTAACACTCAGACAAAAATGAGCAAATATTGTGGTTTTAACAACTACTATTAACATTCCTAGTCAGAGACAGGGGAATACTATTGTGTATTATGCATTCAATACATTTAACGTATCACTCTCATGAATAGTTAGACACACACTATAATTTTGTATGTAATAATAACTTCCAATGTTTTCTTGGAAAGAACAGTGAAAAAGATATAAGCTTGTACCGTGCAAACACTATGTGTCAAATATATCAGTAACCCCTGTGGAGATGAATAAGGAAAGACAAGTGAATTATGTGACTTCATACACACTAGAAACTGCTATCATAAGAAATAACTGGAGTTTCATTCAAATCAAAAGTTGAAGTTATCTTCAAGGTGAGAATTACTGTGTGTGTGTATGTACTGTAATATTACATGCATCAACAGTTACCCTCAAAATGAGTAATTAGAGAAAGTGAATAAGTGTTCAAGCACTGTGGTTTTATACAAATCATTGGTTGTCATCAGGACGTGTAATTTGAGACAAGTTAATATCATGTGACTTTACACATATAAGTAGCCATTTTTGGGGTGGGTAATGACAGACAAGCTAATAATGATTCTATGTGTTTGGACTTTACATTCACCAGTAGCTGCTATCAGGATGAGCAGATAAGAGACAAAATAAAATGTGTTCACTGTGATTCAATACATAGTAGTTATCAACAAGCTGAGTAATTTGAGATAGTTACACAATGCATATACTGTAACCTCCAAAGATCAGTGGATACAATCAGGATAGGAAATAAAATACATGTTAATATAGATGATCAACCACTACTATTAATACAATAATCGTACTTACAGCTTAGTTCAAAGTATTCCAGGATAATACTTCACAAGTTCTACTATGCTACTGATAGCTTGGTTTAAGGTATGTTAATAATATTAAATATTTATTCATTACTGTCACCACAGATATATATGTGAGGTTCCTGGTTACTTAAGTGATAACGAGTATTTGTCCCACCATGTCACACAATTAGAGATTGATTTAAAGGAGATTCCTATTAATGTAATGTAGTGTGTGTATTCATCCCACTATCTTCACTTATTTAATGAAGATATGAGCATTTAATACATTTTTATTATCATCACTAACACAAATATTGATTTAAAATAGGCTATTATTCCCTTTTGTGTAACTGAGTCCAAATTTTTGTTTCTTCTGTAATAATCAAAAATATACCTTAAAGCTTCATTTAAAGTAGGTTACTGTAGTTCATGTAACAGTTGGCATTCTTTCCATCACTGTATCATCTCTAAGCTATCTATGACTAAATTTAAAGAGATTTCCTGTTGTTTCAAGTCACAGTGGATATTTATCCAATTGCTACTCTCATTATGAAATAATTAATAGCTTTAACAGTCTACTGTAAGCAGTACTACTTTTTTCCAATATTATCATTATTATTAACATAAATATAAAGGACAATCAGAGACATTTTGGTCATCCAGGTTGTCCTATACACCAAATTGAACTAAGTGGAAAAAAAAAAAAAATACAAAGCCAGCCATTATCATTCAAACATTTATCAAGCTTTCCCTCAAACTCCCTTAATTAAATTAACTGCATCCACCACATCTAAAGACAATCCTTTACAAAGACTAACCACCTTGTTAGAAAAATAAAGCTGTCTTAGCTTAGATGATCCCAACCCTGCCAAAATGTATGTTTCCTCTAGTCTTACCATCCCCACCATTAAATATCAAAAAAGATGATGCATCAACGCTATCAATTCCCTTAAGAATCTTAATCAGATCCCCTCTAACTCTTCTTCTTTCAAGAGAAAAGAAGTTCAGAGATCTTAACCTATCCTCATATAATAACCTTTCTATTCCAGGTATCATCCTAGTAGTTCCCTCTGAACTCTTTCCAAAAATTCAATATCCTTTCTGAGATAAGGAGCCTAAGACTGAACACAATATTCCAAATGTGGCCTAACCAATAATGTTATAACCTTTTTAGACTTGTATCAAGACACATGGTAGTGTGTCGTGCAGCCAAAACAACCTGCTGCAGGACACACTGTATGTTATTACCAGGAGTGATATTTTGGCAATTTTCCTCGTTCTGTATCTTGGACTGTGGTAATCCAAACTATCACATATTTTAAAAGGAGTGTTCTACTGGACTCTTACTTCACATACCAAATTTAAAGGCAATCCATTAAGAAATACCTGAGATATAAAATCTCCAATTTTGATTTTCTTCCCATATATTTTCTTTGCACCAAAAATATGAACACATTATTTGACAGAAAAACCTATGTAATTTTTATGGATATTTTTCAAATTTGTTACACTGATAGATCTTTTCAACCTGCAATTAGGAGTCTCATTTGGTGTAAATATAAACCACATGTACAAAGTTATTTGGCAAAAACCCCTCAAATTTGACAAACTATTTTGCACATGCCTATGCATAAAGTCACACGAGCTACCAGTCTAACATTTTTACTGCAACTTCACCTAAGAGTAAAAGTGGGCCTTTTTAGTTTTTTTGTCATTCAGATTAAAAACAGCTAATTTAGAGCACCAAAACTATAAGGAGAAAGGGCATGCAGATACACAAGTGTTGGTTAGGCTAAGCAAATTAGATTAGCAGTTTCTAGTTCAAGTTTTCAGAAGAATCATACGGCCGACCGTTATTATTGATTATTCATTGTCAACTTTTCAGTGCAAATTTGCTAAATTGATTGAAATTATCCTAATTAAAGAGTCTTTAGTATCACATGATATTAGCTTAAGCAATTAGCATAAATAATGATGCTGGATATGGCTGTACCGATTGAATGGAGTGATGACAAGAAATTGTTAATCTAAATTCCCTGGCATTACAATAAAGAAAGTTATTAACACTGTTTTAGAGAGGAAAACTACCACCATATATTTTAAAGAATCTGGTTGGTTCTGTAACGTAAAGCCCTATTCCAAATAATAGGGTTGCGATCCTAAAGCTAATATTGGTTACTATCGAGTGTCACTTTCTTACTTGCTGTGGTTTGTTGGTGTGTAGTGACAAAAATTCATGATATCTAATCAAAAACACCTCATGTGTGAAAGAAAAGATGTGGTGAAAAAAGGAGTGAGTGTGCGACTTCAAGAAATAAAATCAAAATTGACGGACAAACTGGTAGCCACACTTATAGCATTGATAAGGATTATACAGCAAATACTCATTGATTAGTTAGCTAGGCTGTGTATTTTGTTTTACTCACCACCATGCCCAAGTTAAAGAAAAAACCTGGCCTAGCTAACTGATGAATAAATATTTGCTGTAAAATCCTTATCAGTTTTATAAGTGTAGCTAGCTACCAGTTTGGCCATCAATTTTGATTTCATTCCTTTAAATCGCACACTCAATCCTTTTTTGACCACACCTTTTTTTCACACCTAAGGTGTTTTTAATTAGATCCAACACTTCCTATTTGCCACATTGCTTGGATGGCTTAAGAGACTGATCAACCAGAACAACAAGATCTTTTTCTTCTGCAACACTGTAAATGTTGCTCCCATCAAAATTATAGTCATATTTCAAATTGTGATACCCCAAAAGCATTATCTTGCATATAATATAATTAAAAGCCATCTGCCATTTATTTGCCCAACCCACCAAATAACCTAAAACATTTTGTAAGACAGTAGCATCCTCTTCCCAGCCAGCAACACTCAAGACTTTAATGTCATCAGTAAATTTATATAAGATATTGATCATTCCTTCATTTATGTCATTGATGTAAGTCAAAAAGAGGAAAGGTCCTAACACTGAGCCCTGAGGTACCCAATTCATTACATTAATCTAGTTTGACTGAACTTCATTTACAACAACTCTCTAC